TGGCTTCTGCTTCTCCTCCATGTGCAGGTAGCAAAATTAATAATTTTATGCATAAATCACTTTATCATACCTCCATGTCAGAATGATGAGATCTGATTTGTCCACATCATCTTGATAAAATACTGTGTAACCCGCCCTGGAGGGGAATAAATTTCTCAGCGGGAGAATAAATCTCTTATACCCCGCCAGGAGCAAGTCACGCTGCATGTGGATGTCTAAGAGGCAGAATAAATCCTTTATACCCCGCTTTAAAGCAAAAAGCAGCTTGCATTTAATAGAAGTCATGTGACATAGCTCAAGTTAACCTCAGCTGTTTTCTATCATTTTTTTCGTATTTGTGTTCATTCTTTTACAATGTCACATTAAAACATGTCAGTAAGATAAATTCATTGTAGCAGGATCACAAGGTGTATATGGGGCTTTATGCATCCCTCGTTAGGTTTTATACCACGCGCTGGAGGCGATCCTGCTACAACTTATAATATGTGATTCCTGCGTTCAATCATTAAATATAGACCACCAAGGAAATATTGATAAGATAGCTGAAATGACCACACTGAATAATTAGACACAGCAGTTATACTTGTTTTGGAGTGTTTTTGGTTTTTTTAATTTTAAAAATAAATTGGATAATGGTGAATATATTTGCATATATTACACTAAGCTCAGGCCTAGGAAGTCTGACTGTACACCTTCAAAACTTAATTAATTATTTCTTTGTATTGGGAGTGTTTTGAATGCCCTGTGTTCTACAATCAGAGATGATGCTTGGAGACTGTCATGAAGTCACAGTAATATCAGTTCATCTTTCAGTCTCATTGGTGACATATTTCTATAGTGGATGAAGTGTCTTAAAATCACCTGTCAATAGCTTGTCCTTGCTGAACATGAGAAAAAGAAAATGTAGCAATGTCTAGCATCACCTGCAGTGAGTTGGGTTTGATACCATTTGTCAACAGTATTTCGATTACCATATTCACCATATTAAGCACCCTGCTCCATGAAGTGCAACCGACCAACATCTAAGCCAATATGATATGTAAGTAATCTTAATAAGCACTCCCTGCAAAGAAAATTTAAGTGACTGTCTGTATTTTCTTGTCTTATATTACTGATTTCTTTTATATAATACAGAAGCTTGATGGGGTATAACTGCTTAATAAGCAGCCCCATGTCAATTTTGTAAGTGCAAAGGGTGGTATATTATGGTGTACGTGGGAGTAAAGCCCCACATGACACGAGTATTAGACTTGCATCACTTTGGAGAAGCCCAGAAGTATCAGCATGGTACAGACAGACCAAGATTCAAGTTCGGACAAATCTGGGATTTGAACCAATGAGGGCCATTCCAGGCAGCTATGAGTCAACAGTGGGCACCGGACCACCCTCGCTCCATCACAACCACTGGTGGTGTTGTCAGGGTGATGACATGAAATCGTCTCAATGATTATGCAATGATGTGATGATATTATCACGTGTTATGTGTCACACTCAACCAATGACACAAACAAGACACCATACACTATACACAAATGAATATACACAATGAAATTAAACAGTGAAAGAATATTTTCATCATCCATGTTATTGTGCCTATTCAATGTTCTTCAATTTCGTGGGTGCAATTTATTAATGTATCACCTACTTGACCTTACCATTCGTCAAACACAGCTTAAACTTTCATTTACCACACACCCCTAGGTCTATGCTCCAGAAGATCACCTCCTTGGCCCAGAGAGCAGAAGGTCGATGGCTTGATCCCCTGGCCGCATCATACAAAAAAATGTAAAAAGATGGGACTTGTCACCTTGCCTGGTGCGTGGCATTCAGTGGATAACACAATGCTTGTTGGCTCAGTGTACTGTGTCTGAGTGGGGTACCCATGTTAAAACTGTGGTATAGTATCTCTGGCATCAGTCCAGACAGGTACACACACACACATGTGCATGCACATCGCCATATATACAATTATCTTGTATGCAAAGTTTAACCCAATTTCACCTCACCTTATATTCATTTTATGGAATAGTTTTTCACAATTTTTAAGAATATACACTGTAGATGACATAGATTTCAGAGTATGACTCTGACTGCTCAATACAGAAATATAAGTGCAGGACAACTGTATCCCAATTGTGTTTCAATGCTCATGATGTTAATTACTGGATTGTCAGTTGTGGCGTTACCAACAAACAAACAAAATATACCTAGTGTATTTCATTATGTTAAGAAAGGAAGCAACACATATAGCAGTTCTCTTCACCTGCACATGAGGATTATATACAGATATGAAGCCGGTTCAGTAATGATACTGGCGAAGAGCATTATCCAATGATTAGGCGATAATGTGTTTTTGGTGGGGGTTTCTGACCCACCAACATGAAAAATTTAACAGCAAAATGAAAGTAAACATAAATTGACTTTTCTGATATTTTTACCGCTGCATGACTCTAATGGTATAAAGATAAATAGAAAAATAAGTTGACATGAAATATCACTCAAACTAGTTTGTGGTTAAAAGATGAGTCAAGTGTTAAAGTTGAAGCGTTGTAGATCAATAAGAGTAGCTCATACCCGTCACTGGTGAGATCATTTTTCACTGTATGCCTCTATATTTTATCTGGCGGCCTCTTATGGCTCTTCAAGCAGGTGATACCTACTTTAGAATCAAAGCTCAATCTTACGGATACAATCTCCAACCTGTCGATTGCCAGGGTACTGATCTGGAAGTAATTCTGGTCACACGTGGTATGCCAATTTGAAACGAAAAGTATCTAGCAAAATATAGAGGCATACAGTGAAAAATGATCTCACCATTGGAAGTATCTGGTGGCTGCCAGATAAAATATAAAGGCAGTGAAAAATGATCTCACCAGTGGCGGGTAGGGTCCACCGTAAATATGAGATATCTGGTTGCGAAGTTGTTTTGGTGAGGAAATGGTGACATTCATGTGCAGTCGAGGGCCTTACACGGTCGAGGGCCTTACACGGTCGAGGGCCTTACACGGTCGAGGGCCTTACACAGTCGAGGGGCATACACAGTCGAGGGGCATACACAGTCGAGGGCCATACACAGTCGAGGGCCATACACAGTCGAGGGCCATACACAGTCGAGGGCCATACACAGTCAAGGGGCATACACAGTCAAGGAGCATACACAGTCGAGGGCCATACACAGTCGAGGGCCATACACAGTCAAGGAGCATACACAGTCGAGGGCCATACACAGTCGAGGAGCATACACAGTCGAGGGCCATACACAGTCGAGGGCCATACACAGTCAAGGGCCATACACAGTCAAGGGGCATACACAGTCGAGGGCCATACACAGTCAAGGAGCATACACAGTCGAGGGCCATACACAGTCGAGGGCCATACACAGTCAAGGGGCATACACAGTCGAGGGCCATACACAGTCGAGGGCCATACACAGTCAAGGAGCATACCCAGTCGAGGGCCATACACAGTCGAGGAGCATACACAGTCGAGGGCCATACACAGTCGAGGGCCATACACAGTCAAGGGCCATACACAGTCAAGGGGCATACACAGTCAAGGAGCATACACAGTCGAGGGCCATACACAGTCGAGGGCCATACACAGTCGAGGGCCATACACAGTCAAGGGGCATACACAGTCGAGGGCCATACACAGTCGAGGGCCATACACAGTCGAGGGCCATACACAGTCAAGGAGCATACACAGTCGAGGGCCATACACAGTCGAGGGCCATACACAGTCGAGGGCCATACACAGTCAAGGAGCATACACAGTCAAGGAGCATACACAGTCAAGGGCCATACACAGTCGAGGGCCATACACAGTCAAGGGGCATACACAGTCGAGGGCCATACACAGTCGAGGGCCATACACAGTCGAGGGCCATACACAGTCAAGGGCCATACACAGTCAAGGGCCATACACAGTCAAGGGGCATACACAGTCGAGGGCCATACACAGTCAAGGGGCATACACAGTCAAGGGCCATACACAGTCGAGGGCCATACACAGTCAAGGGGCATACACGGTCGAGGGCCATACACGGTCGAGGGCCTTACACGGTCGAGGGCCTTACACGGTCGAGGGCCTTACATAGTCGAGGGGCATACACAGTCGAGGGCCATACACAGTCAAGGGGCATACACAGTCGAGGGCCATACACAGTCGAGGGCCATACACAGTCAAGGGGCATACACAGTCAAGGAGCATACACAGTCGAGGGCCATACACAGTCAAGGGCCATACACAGTCGAGGGCCATACACAGTCGAGGGCCATACACAGTCGAGGAGCATACACAGTCGAGGGCCATACACAGTCGAGGGCCATACACAGTCAAGGGCCATACACAGTCAAGGGGCATACACAGTCGAGGGCCATACACAGTCAAGGGGCATACACAGTCGAGGGCCATACACAGTCGAGGGCCATACACAGTCAAGGAGCATACACAGTCGAGGGCCATACACAGTCGAGGGCCATACACAGTCAAGGGGCATACACAGTCGAGGGCCATACACAGTCGAGGGCCATACACAGTCGAGGGCCATACACAGTCGAGGGCCATACACAGTCAAGGAGCATACACAGTCGAGGGCCATACACAGTCAAGGGGCATACACAGTCGAGGGCCATACACAGTCAAGGGGCATACACAGTCGAGGGCCATACACAGTCGAGGGCCATACACAGTCAAGGGGCATACACAGTCGAGGGCCATACACAGTCAAGGGGCATACACAGTCGAGGGCCATACACAGTTGAGGGCCATACACAGTCGAGGGCCATACACAGTCAAGGGCCATACACAGTCGAGGGCCTTACACGGTCAAGGGGCATACATTCAGGAAATTAAGACACATTCATTTGAAGACATTTTGGTAAGAACAAAATCAAGTAAACCAACTATAAAAAAAAATGAATCTCCTAAGTGAAAGGCCAGTATTAAGCTGGTGGCAAAGATGAAGAATAATGCAAGGTAAGCAGGAAGCCTGGTCTCACCTCTGTAGCGATACCTGCTCATTCGTCGCCTGTGGAAGGAACGTTTCCGGTGCTCGGAGACCCCTGAGTCAGCACTGTCAGAATCGGTGTCTGAGATGATCTTCTCGTTGACTTCCAGCCTCAGACTCCGGTAGAACAGTTGGCAATGTATCTGATGACTGTCGTCCGTGTCGAACTCATCGCAGTCAGGGACATGCAGACGCTCACTGAGCAACTTCATAAAATCACGTGGTTGTCGTTCCACTATCACAGATGGGCCGCTCTCCTGTAATCAAGTAAGAAACACAGATAACATGACTGGAATCCCAGTGAACAAGAACAATGCACGATCCACAAATGAACGAGCAAGTGAGATAATCCATTAACAATATTCCAGCAATATCATTGGCGGATACAGAGGGGGGTGCAGGGGTGCGCACCCCCCTCCCCCCCCCCCCCCTTTTTATTTCGAAAAAAAATCTTTATTTCTGTATAAATTACCACCAAAGATAATAAATAGATCTTTATTGTGCACCCCCCCTTTTAAAAAAAGCTGTATCCGCCCAAGAATATTACGGCGGGGTCACCTGAAATGGGCTTCACACATTGTACCCATGAGAAAAATCCATCCTAGGCCTTCACCTAAAAAGCAACCAATGTAACCTCAACTCTACTCTACCGAATATTTCAAGTGAATCTTATGGCACCTACAAAAAACATCACATTAGACAATACTTTTAGTAAAATTAGTTTACAGATCGACTGAACCTGAAAAAGTTACAGTTTAGAAACAATATATATGATTTTTTATTCTGCATAATGATCACCTTCTTTACTCAAAAACAAATTGTGCATACAATATGTTAATGCAAAACTGATGGGAAAATAAAACAAATGAAAAGTTTTAATCACCTTTTTCCCACCTACCAACCAGGATTAACACAAAAATCATATATATACCAAAAGATTTAAAGAAGCCTGTCCTCAAATTGTTAGCATTTTTTATGTGTTTGTGCTCTGCAATGTCTTTTTGTCAGTGCTACAAAACATTGTTTTAGACCTATGTAGGTGTTTAGGTGTCGTTGATTATGAATATTAACCAGCCTCTGGCGAACTGGATTGTCTGTGTGGCTGATGCTGACATAATACATGTGTGAAAACACACATTGATACTTTGCAGACATTTGCATTCCTGTGAACTGTAATAAGTAGACTGTCAAAATGACTAAATATCACTTTGATTAGATTTTCACAACAAACATACTAAATTATATATACTAAACATACTTAAACATTACTTTCTTGACTGTATGGATTAAAGGGAGATAACTCTGCTGACCCTGTTGCTGTAGAATGTGTGCAAATTGGCCTTCTTTCAGCCCAGGCTTACCCTCAATACAGTAGCTACCACTAGATTTGAAAAATAACAGTCGGAGAAGAAATATAAATAAGCTACCAATCAGCTGGAAATTAGGTTTAATATGTTATTTCTGAATGTGAATGTTGCAAACTAATTGTCATGATTTTATTTTGCATTGTTTGTTTGTTTAATGCCGCACTCAGCAATATTCCAGCTATATGACAGCGGTCTGTAAATAATCGAATCTGGACCAGACAATCCAGTGATTGACATCATGGGCATCGATCCACACAATTGGGATACCATGACATGCATCAACCAAGTCAGCAAGCTTGACCATCCGATCCCGATAGTCACATGTGTGTGTGTGTGTGTGTGTGTGAGTATGTGTGTTTGTTGTTAACACCGCACTCAGCAATATTCCAGCTTTATGACAGCGGCCTGTAAATAATCAGTCTGGACCAGACAATCCAGTGATCGTTATTGTGAGCAATGATCCACAACATCGGGGTACATTATCAACCAAGTCACGGAGTCTGAGCACATGATCCATTTAATCATAAATAAAAGACCCGTGAAGATCCGGGGTAGAATAGGTCTACAGCAACCCATGCTTGCCGTAAAAGGCGACTATGCTTGTCGTAAGAGGCGACTAATGGGATCGGGTTGTCAGGCTCGCTGACTTGGTTGAAGCATGTCATCGATCCCAATTGCATGGATCGATGCTCATGATATCAATCACTGGATTGTCTGGTCCAGACTCGATTATTTACAGACCGCCGTCATATTGATGGAATATTGCTGAATGCGGCGTAAAACAACCAACCAACCAACCAATGTATCATAAATCTTTATGTGAAGCACACTATCTCCTTACCACAACAGTTTTTTCGAAAATAATAAAAACAAATTAATTTATGTAAGGATAAGATTTATGGATGAACAACTTCTTTATTATAATTAAGAGTGACGTTTCAGTGTAGGTTCTTACACCGTTATCTAGCAAGTGATCAGGTGTTAGAACCTACACCGAAACGTCACTATTAATTGTAATAAAGAAGTTGTTCATCCATAAATTATTATCCTTACTTAGTTCTCCAACTTCTAAATGCCTATCAAAGAAGACATTAATCTATATATTATATCTTTACATGAAGCATGCTATGTCCCTACCACCACAGTGTTTTCGAACATTGTCTTTACATGAAGCACACTTTCTACCTACCATCAGTGTTTTAACAATAATTTGTTATTATTCTCTGAACAAAGATTTGCAAAAAAGTTATGATGTGTTTAACAAGAACAACATATGTGATCAGAATACTATTGAGTTGAATGTTCTTTTTTTCACTTCCTCCCCAAGTTGCCCAAATGTAACTATATAATCAGTAAATCCAAAAAATCACAGGTTCAAATTTAATTATCTCCCTTGGACCACCTCTCAGTCTTGTAAAAATACTGTTTTTCATCTTAAGTCATGTTTCATAACCACAGCTTATTCAGCCAATGATTTCTGTAATCAGTTTCAAGATTCTATACATAGAACATGAATCAATATTTTAAAATCCTTAACTTCAACTATATGTAAGTTATATATAACTATTGACAGACCCGTGAAGATCCTGAGTAGAATCGGTCTTCGGCAACCCATGCTTGTCATAAAAGGGGACTATGCTTGTCATAAGAGGTGACTAACGTGATCGGGTGGTCAGGCTCACTGACTTGGTTTATGCATGTCATTGTATCCCAATTGCGTGGATCGATGCTCATGATGTCAGTCACTGGATTGTTTGATCCAGACTCGATAATTTACAGACTGCCGTCATATAGCTGGAATATTGCTGAGTGCGGCGTTAAACAATAAATAAACAAACAAACAAAACAATACTATTGACATCTGTTCTATGGTTATAGTCTCAAAACAGATTACATGGTACCAGAAGTCATTGATTAAATAACTTGTGGTTATAAAACATGACTTAAGGTGATAAACAATTCAAGTCAAGCACAAGAACTTTGACATGTAAATAAACTCTGCTATGAATGAAATGTATCCCTCATTATCTGGTAGGTTACAACACTGCAGATATTCCAATGATAGAGAGATTTTGCATATGACAGGTATGTACACATTATTGAAACTTCAGAATATTTTATAACAAAATTCAGATTTTGTGTACGAAGCATAGCAAGCACAGTGTCCTTCACTGGTTTCAACCATTGGTGATTTATGATTTGTTCATGGTTTGGAGATTAGATTTTAGATCTAACAAAATGTCAATCAAGTACTCAAGGGGATTGATTGAGGAGATAAGCCAATACTCAAAAACAACTACAAATCTGAAGAATCCTGTTTATCAACATAACAGGTACGACTTCCATTTTACGAACAGGTGGGTTAAGGTTTAGGTGGATTATCGGTATAATCATGATACTGCCACATTTTAGTCATGTCTCTCCCACTTTTGGATGCGATCGTTCAGCCACTGCGTTTATCTGCGTCACCTAGCTACATCTATGGGGAACAACTTACCAGATACTTCCCTCTCAAAAATAACAACGCCCAATATATGTCATCAAGTTGCAAGCGCACATTCAAATTTCCAGAAATGGCGTCAGGATAGAACCATGTTTTATCAGGAAATATACCACACTTTGTTCTTCATTGTTCTTTGCGATTAATCGCTAAGTTATCTCATGCATACAAATAATGAATGCAAAATACAAAACAATACCCGTGAACAACTCTCAAACAAAAGACGTCGTATGTAAAGAAACAACAATGTGCATAAAAAGGACACTAAACTGCTAAAGGACAACGTTGACAATAAAGAATGCCAGAGCGCGCTGCAATTTGTAAAAGATTCCGAGTTTAATCTGCTTGTTCTGCTACATATATGATAAATGTATGTTGAAGTGCTCAATGTATTATGTCATTCCTCGCGCACTCAGGGTTGAAGTCACCGTCACCGGAAACACGGCACATTTTTATAATTATACTCCGTGTAATCCGACATCTGTCTAATTAGTCTAAGTATATTGTACACAACCTTCAATGAACACTCATTTAACGCTTAACTTACATTTATTTCATTCAAATATTTGAAAAGACAAAAGGGACAAATTTTATCGGTGTGTTGAAATTTGCTGGTTTTTACGCCTACAAAAATTTCGGACAATACTTAGCAGCGTCTCATTTACACCATCAGACAGGAAATTTACATTTTAGATCTCTCAGTAATATTATAGTCATGATAGTCTGAGGTAGACCAGGTGCTACAATATTTTTGCACAATGTTCACTTTTCAGATCGTATGAAAATGCACATCAGAAATATAACTCAGCATCATATACATGTACATATACGTGTTTGACGTCATACGCTGAGTGAATGAGGAACAATGTAATATATTGAGCACTTCAATATGCATTTATCATATCCACAGCTGGACAAGTCGATTAACCTGGGAATTTTTTACAAATCGCAGCGCCATTGTCAATGTCCTTCAGCAGTTTCGTGTCCTTCTTGTACATTGATATTCTTTAGTATACATTGTTCTGTCATAACATATGACGTATTTCGTTTGGGAGTTGTTCATTGGTATCGTTTTGTATTTTGAATTTATTATTTGTATGTGAACAATTACCTTTATTTGTAACATTCATTCTTTATTTGTAACATTTGTCTATTTTTGCGTACTTTTATCCTTTATTTCCACTTTGTATTTTTGACCGGATGGGCGCCCATACCAGGCAAAAAAATTAATTTTTTTCATCACTATTTAAATGATCCAAATCAATTTTTAAGATGATTAAAAAACATCCTGTACTGTGCTTTTTTACAAAAAAATGAATCAACCTCCAAACCAAATGTTTCACTATCAAAACACCACCCACCCCATCACCCAAAACGTCTGGCCTAAAAAACTATTAAAAAGCCTAACAGCCCCAACTCACCAGTGTTGAGGCAGGAGTATCACAGAAGCTGGAGGGGAATGCATCGGGCAGTTTGATTGGTCCACTGTCAGCAGTATTGTCACAATCGAAGGCACCGTCAGTGTGCATCACAGAATGTTTAACGGATTGGTCCAAGTATGAAATGGAATGTTGATCTTTGAAAGTGTCATCCAAAGCACTGTCAGATGAAGACAATTGGCCATCTTTGCTATATACAAAATTATTATGCTTTTCCACATATTCACAATCTGACAATGAAACTCCACTGTCATTCCGTTGCTTGGAGTCATATTTCGTATCACAGCGATTGTGAAAACTGCTAGACATGGGATCTTCATCATTAATGTCATTTGTCCCTGTGGACAACATTGGACTCTTGCCCACGTTTCTGTTCAGGAATGACCTCATATCCACATCGAAAGGGTGGCTTGTCCAAGGCACTGTGAAATCAGCAGAAACTCTCTCTTTCATACCATTATCACTACAGGAAGATGGCAATGTAAACATACTACAGGCACTGCTAGATTCAGGCATATTAAAATCGTCGTCAATACTCTGCTGCATGACGTCATTACTTCGAGTAGATGGCGCTGTTAAATCTCTCCACTGCATATCGTCATTACCTAGGGTAGATGGCGCTTTATTTCTGTTAAAAGCACTGCCAGAGCCAGGCGCAGGGAAATTGTCATCAACTTGCCCACTGACGTCATCGCTGTATGAAGATGGCGCTGTTAAAAGATTAAAAGCACTGCTAGTCCCAGGAACTTTGAAATTGTCATCTTTCTGCTGTATAACGCCATCACGTCGAGGAGAGAATGAAGTAAACACATCATTGCTACTTCCAGGCAGCGTGAAATCTTTGTTACGCTGTCTGTGGTTATTGCTGCACGAAGAAGATGCTATAAACATGTTGCAGGCACTGCTGGTTCGAGGTACAGGGAGGTGGTCGTCGACGATGGGATGTATGACACTTGTGCTTTGAATAGATGACTTCTTACGCCTATTACGACCACGACTGGTCATGGGCACTGCAAACCTCTCTCCCCTTGGTACGATGTCATCGCTCACAGTGGACGATGTCATATCCATGCTGTCATTGCTGCTGCAACCAGGTGTCGCAACATCGACCATTGTCTGCAATAACAAATTAATATTTGTTAATCAATTGTCTTTATAGCTTATTGGATAAATTTTTTTGTTTGTTGTTTAATGTCCCACTCAGCAACGAAAGGTCAAGTCAGAATGACCTTTCATCCCACCAATCAGAGCATCGCTTACCAGATCAGGAAAGGGACAGTCGCCGAGTCAGGATGAGTTTTCTAAAATGCGACCTCAAAAGAACTTTAACACGGGGTATTCCAAACGACAGTTAGAGTGTTACGACTGAATCCATACAATCTAGGACAACTGTTAGCCATTCCATAATGTTCGAGAATTTGTCAAAATTTGTTTTGAGGCGTTGTTGCCAGGTTGAAACGAATGACGTAAAGCATAAGAAAGCTGCCTTCTGATTGGCTAATGTCAACTTCCTGTCAGTCATTCCACTGGTCAGTCACAGTTCGCAAAAGGTCAGTCTGACGGGACCCGTAATGGGATGTCCTCAGATCTTTGTTCAGTTGTAGCGATAACTAAGATCTGATCTGAGGTGAGGTGAGGTGAAATGGGGTTTGACGTCGCATCCAAGATTATTGTACTTATATAGCGACGTGCATGTACGTGTATGTGTTTGTGTTTGTGTTTGTGTGGCTGCTTGTACTAGTCCGGACTGATGCCGATTTATAGTGCTAACTCACTGAGATACCATGCCGCAGTTTAACATGAATACCCCACTCAGACACAGTCTACTGACTCCGAGCCGACCAGTCCTTGTTTTAGTCCCTTAATGCCGAGCGCCAGACAGGGTAACAACAAGTACCATCTTTTAACGTCTTTTGGTATGTCGCAGCCGGGGAAGATCTGATCTGAAGATTGGAGTTTGTGGTGGTTAGTATTAAGCATCTACTACCTGCATCACCTTGGACTTTCCTCCCATGGAGCCCCATGATATACTGAGAATACAGCTCACAGTGGAGCTCCAGGTGGACAAGGATTGAGCTACCTGGCAGTCCCAGCTTCTCCCAGTTTATTCACACACATCTGTTTTTCTGCCATCTTAAATGTTTTTACATAGATCAATCCAACAGTTAAACGTGGGCATTACCCTAATTATACCACTCAAAATAAGTTAAGACCACCCAATTCTTTCCTGTTTCTATAGTTAATCCATCAAGCCATGACAGATAAACTATAGGTAATATGAGTGAGTGTGGTTTTACGCTGCTTTTAACAATATTCCAGCAATAACAATGACACAACAAATAGGCTTCACATAGGCTATCTATATGGAGAATTGAACCCGGATCTTTGGCGTAATGAGCGGAGGCTTTAACCACAAGACTACCCCAGTGTCCCTGATAATATGAAACCAGGTAGTCCTTAACTTTTTTTGAGTAGTATACATTGAGAACATGCCTCGGTTTCCCACATGGCACTACCAACAACTTACAATGCACAGACCTGGGCCCACTTGCACAAAGCGATCTTAGCGCTAAGATTATCATAACTTCCATTCTTTAAATAGGCTTACGATAGTCTTAGCGCTAAGATCACTTTTTGCAAGTGGGCCCTGGAATGGACGGGGCCCCAGAACATGGAGCTTAGTCACCCTTTAATCCATTCATTCTCTAACAAGTGTTCAATATGTGACAAAGAACGAATGAATATTAACCTTAAACAGCAAATTGTGTTGGAATTCTTGAATTTAAAATGATGCAGCTATCATGGAACGATTTTGAACTTTTTAAAGCTTTTAATTTAATTTGAATTAAAATATAAATTTTAAATATCAATGTAATTGCATCATCTTAGTATTGGTTTCTGATTTAGCATCATTGATGGTATAAATAAGCCAGGTTCTTATTGGAAGATCAGTTCAACATCAGAGTGATGATGGTGTCCAGGTTTTATGTTGCTATGGTCTCTGGGTCCATCATTAGCTTCAACAATGTACACACTGAGAATGGGCCTCAGTGCATGGAGAAGTCTCCCCCAAACTCTCTCAAGAGTGTTAAATAAGAACGGGGGATCCAGAGTCAAGAGAGGGATGATGCAGGGGACTGCCCCTCTGCTTTTTAGCCGGCTAGCCTATTATGTGTTTTTTTTGCACTTTGTGACTTGGGTATGTGCACCCTCTTCTCTCCACCCTCTCTCCTCTCCACCCCCTCCCCTCCCCTCCTCATTTCAAATTCTTCCATACACCTCATCACCCCCCCCATGACAGACACTTGGAACACTACATATCCTCAATACCAGCCATCTGACAAATGACACTCCCAATATGTTATTGATTTGTATCTCACATCTGTCGCCAATGACAACAAATCCCAGAATGCACCAGCCCCGCCCCACCCTGCTGCAGTAGCTGCCCCAACTAGTGAGGCTACATAGTGTTGAGCTCCACTAATTAACATGTCCTAATTGACTTCCTGTGCCATGTCTAGAGCTGTCTCTCTTATCGCGATGTTCCTGCTTGGTTGACCCACTCAGCAAACAAGGTGATAAAATCACCATGCATATTCTCCGTAAAGGTCGAAGTGAAGTGCACACAATGAGATTCATTGTGTAGAGCCTATTCAAGGGACACATACATACATACATACACACACACAAAACACGCACGCACACACGCACATACATTGCATGTGTTGTGAGTATAAGTAAATGAGGCTCGGGTGGGAACCTAGTTATGTATACTCAACAACAAAAGTAACATCATATCACTTTCATATTGTGATTTTTATGCAGGTTATGCAAAACTTCTCAATTTTTAAATTAAGATTTAAAATTTATTGGCATTTAATAGGGCTGAACATGAACCTCTTAGACATTTTTTTAAATCTTAAACATTTCTGTAATTATGAAATTCAAATTCAAATTCTGCCTTGCAATTCCTGTGTGAATTAAACAAGTTCAGATGAAATATATAGTTATTTTCATTTCCCATTAAGAATTAGGAAGGAAAATTTGAGTTGAATTTCTTTTTGACCCAAATACACATTTGAAGGGAATCAGTCTGCCTTCGGGTCAGGCTTGACAAGGGGCGTGTTGTGTATGCAGGCACAAGATTGATCAGTCTCTAGTAACTACATATCACCATAATGATGAGTGAATATTGTTTAACACCTCATCAGCAATCTTGCAGATAATCACAGTGAGGTATGTATTTATCCTGCCTGACAATAAGCATCCCTTGTAAAGTAAAGATAAACAATTAATTATGTATAAAGTGTCCTGTGTCTTTATGATACGCCATTTATGACATGTAAATTATACAGTAATTGGTCTGGAAATCACTATTGCGATAACTATTGATATTGAAAGAAACTATTGCAATTATTATTGATATTGCAAGCAACTATTGTGATAAATATCGATAGTTTTCAGTGTATCATTTTTGATGGATTTTAGAGTTGAATTAAACCTTGGAACTGAAGTTTCCTTTGAATGTGATAACAATCAATCAATCAATCAATGTTTTATTCCAACAAACCACCATAGGCGGTACAGGAACAATACATATAAAGTTATAACATAAACAATAAATTGTAGTGATCACTTGGTAAATTGTAGATTATAGTGTGGTACTCATCTTCTGACAGCATTATTAATAATTCTTATAAATCTGGAGATATTTTTCACGATTAAGCAATTATTTGAGGTAAACAAAACTTTGAGCTTTGCGAGATTCGGCCATTTACAAAGATAAATTGGAATATAATGTGATCTCATGGTATAAAAAAAGGAGCATTTAAATAAATAATGAAACCCGTCGGCTATCGAGATAAAAAAAAGTAAAGTTTGAGATATGACCGATCTCAACTGAGAGCCAACCAAAGGGAAACTAGAGACATGCAGTCAAGATGCTAAATATTAACCTAATAGTTCTTGTGAGTGTGGCAGTCATGTGAAGGAATCACTACTTTGCTACATAATTTGCAACTCAATCACTTCTATTAGGCAATCCCTGGTCATTCAATACTTTGAGCCTTATGAATGGACAACCTTGACCTTTGGTATGCCATGGCTACCTGGATCGTGTAACACCCTGATTAGGTTTCTTATTGTTTCTTCCCTGATTGTATCATACAGGCCTTAACATACAGTCATCAGGGCCCAGGGGGACTATAGAGTTAGTCAGTGAGTGAGTGAGTTGAGTTTATGCCACTTTGAACAGTATTCCAGTTATATCACGGTGTGTCAGCTTAAAATGTGCAGAGAGCCTGGATTGCTGCATGTCTCAGATGTTTACAATTTTGTACAAGCATGGGTATGATGCTGACAAATCGAGAAACATGATTGGGTCAAACCTGATCATAGGTTTCTGGCGTGCCCAAGGGACGCAACTCTGCACAGCGACTGGGCCACTCGTGCCCCCTCAAGTTTAGAATAGGTCCACAGCAATTTATACTGGTCATAAGATGTGACTTCATGTATTGGGAAGCGTTTGCTCGTCACATTGAAGACCCAGGTTCAATTCCCGACATGGGTACAATGTGTGAAGCCTCATTTCTGGTAACCCCCGCCGTGATATTGCTGGAATATTGCTAAAATCGGCGTAAAATCAAATCACTCACTCACTCACCGGGTGGTCCGGTTGGGTGTCATGGTTGTTTGTCTGCGTACCCGACAGCAAGGATTGGTGCTCATAACATCACTGGATTTCCTGGTCCAGAACTAATTACATACATGCCACTGTCATTGCTGGAATATTATGCATATAGTGCGGCATTAAACAATAAACAAATAAAACTGTTTGTTTGTATGTTTGTTTGTTGTTTAATGCAGCACTCAGCAATATTCCAGCTATATGAGGGCAGTCTATAAATAATCAAATCTGGACCAGACAATCCAGTGATTGACATCATGAGCATTGATCCACGCAATTGGGAAACGATGACATGCATCAACCATGTCAGCGAACCTGACTCCCCAAAACCCGTTAGTCGCCTTTTACAGCAAGCATGGGTTGCTGAAGACCTATTCTACCACCGATCTTCACGGGTCACGAATATAACAAACCGTTATATGTACCTCAA